GTAGTTTTTAACAGCAGATCAAGCAAGGCGCACCAAGAAAGCATTTTTGCCACGCTTTGTAAAACAAGTCCGGAAGAATTGAACTGCGGAAATAATGTCTACTGGGAATTAATTCTGAGATAAGGCACAAGCTTGAAAACTGAGCTGCAATGGAGACCAAAGAGGAAACAATAGATCTTTAGATAGCTTTTCAAGTTTCCTCAAGTGATGCCGGTAAAAAACATTGCCAGCCATTAATAAGAATAGTTTTAAAAGAGAGGCTGAAGCATATTAAAAAAAATACCACAGAAATTCCAATTATTATAATTAATTTCAAGCAGCCTAAATCGAGCACTATTCTCCACCACCCCCATCCCATACCCAAATACATGGTAAAAAAAAGAGATGCTTATTATAATTTTGTGGTCATTAATTAAACCAGAAGAAAACTTAAGTTTATTGGTTAAACTGAAGCTTATGAAGATGTACAAAAGTAGGAAGCTCTTAAACACCAGCGTCTTTTCCTCTATATCCACAAGATTATGGATTCATGGATGAAATCTACCCAGAGCTAAATGATATATACAGGTGAACAGTCACAATAAAAGCATATAATTGATTACTGTAAATGTGCACTTCTAGACCATATAAAACTGTCTTTCGATGAAGGGAATTCCAGAATGCATCTATGAAAATTCAGGACCGACTTTCCAATGGTCATTTGATTTTCAGTTGTTTCTGAGTCAGAATAATGCAGCATTTGCTTTTCAACAATGGCACCAAAAGCAAATAGTTTGCAGCATGTATTACTGTAGTGTTTTCAAGGAGCATTCATGTGAGAAACATAAAGAACAATAATTGTCTGGAATTCTAGACCAAAATAAGGTTCATAACCTTATTCTGGGTACCTCTACTGATCAAATTGGTTTTTTTCCCACTTGTCAAGTTAGGCAAATACAGAAAGGAATCCCAAACAATAGTCAATGTACTTATCATTGAAGTATTAAAAGCAGAAAGTGTTAATCATTTTACTGCAGATAATCATATTGCAAATATTCATCTTCCATTACTTCTCCCTACTAGAATAGATCTTTAAATTATACATAAAGAGTCCAGATAGTGCTGTGGCTTAATCAGAGCAGTAATTTTAGAGTGTCTGTCAATTGAACAACAGATTGGCCTGTTCTCTGAAGACGATGCTTAAATTTCTTCAAAAGCATTTGAAACAGAGGAACAATGAAAAACAAGTACCGGTAACTCCAGCCAGTTTGGGATCTGTTCTAAATCAAACTTTTCTAATCTGGCATTTTTTAGATATGGTGAGAGACCCCTGCCTTAGAATTCCCTGCTAATCTGGTTTAAAGGAATGTGGGCTGGAATTTCTGGGAGTTACATACTTAGAGGATGGCAAGGATTTGTGAAAATTGACCTAGATAAACTTTTGTATTCAAACTACTTTTGCAATACTACTCTTTTCCCCAGAGATGAAAGTGAGCTCTTCCATGGACTGTTCCAAGAAAGTATCTGGAAAATTAACAGCTGTCTTGTTGGTTTAATATTGTAATAGTTTTGTCTCCAATCCTTCAAGCTACAACAATTAGTGACATTCTCTTCTCCCCATATCTTAATATGGGAATCTCAAGATACCCACTGGCTGAATATCAAATAATGAATATTGGAGATAATGTTATTCCTTATTACAACTGCTGGGGGTGGGGGACAGCAGGAAAGCTCAGTTACTTCACTCAATGTGCCTGCAAATTTCTCATTGGCACTTTTTTAATATTTTCCATTTTATTATTATTTATACTTTAAAAGATGATAATACAAATGAATCAAGTATAGTAATGGAATATAGGTGGATAAACAACAATTAAAATGCTTATATTGAAGAAGCATTTAGATAAGCAACAAAATGTGTTGAACCAAGAAGAAAAGAAATCCAGTTGCCAAAACCTGGATGACTGAGAATCTTCATTGACATATTACCATGGACTTTTGAGGAAGAAATCCTGAGGTTGGTACAGGAATTCAATTCAAATGTTCAAATTAAATAGACAAGCAAATCAATTTGTTTTAGAGAAAGTCATTTCTTCATGTGTCTCTAAATTGAGGCATCCAATTAAACTCAATGCTTGAAATCAATCTTGATACTCGAAAACAAATATTAACATCATTCTATTTTTAACTACTTCTATTGTAAATAAATGTCTATTGAAATTCTCAGTCATCCAGGTCATGGTAGTCCCAAAGGCTTTTTCAAAAGGCAACTGGACTTTCTTTGTTTTGCTTGAAGACTTTTTGTTCTCATCCAAGAAGCTTTAGTTCTGAAGAAACTTCTTGGATGAGAAGTGAAACCTCTTCAAGCAAGCCAAAGAAAGTTGCTGTTTGAAAAAGCACCTTTGGGATTATTGTGAATAAAGAATTTTGGATCTGCGTTTCTAACTTAGACATACAGCTGGATATACAATTATTATGTACAAGACAAACTTTTCTTCACTCTTAATTTAAAGCCAAGAAAGAAACGAGTTACAATATAACTAGAAAAATCATGAATTATTCCCAATCCCTTGTTTTTCTCAAGAATCTTGGAAAACCAGAGCTAACTACTGTAGTACTACTGCAGAATTATTTCTAAAGGGAATACCACTATCATCTATCTATTTATCTACCATATCTACCATATCTATCTATCTATCTATCTATCTGTCTGTCTGTCTGTCTGTCTATCTATCATCACCTATCTATCTATCTGAAAATAATGTAATGGCAATCNCACACACACACATATTGAATTTATTGAGAAAGGATGGGCAGCTACATGTATCTATTCTATGTCTTAATCCAGACTGACATCCCAATTCTTTTAATGGGAATTATGAATTGTGGTTAATATTTTGAATGGCAAAGAATGAAAAACAATAAAGGAGAATATTTGTAGAAATGAGGCGTCCTGGGTGCTTTTTGAGCTTGATTGTTTCCTTGCAGATGTTTCAATACCCAAAATGAGGTAACATTACTAGATGTTATCTAGTTTGAGTAATGGAATGTCTGCAAGAAAACCACCAAACTCAGAGAGCATCAAGGATATGGGTGGAAACTAATCAAGGGAGAGAAGCAACTTAAAACTAAGGAGAAATTTCCTGACAGTTAGAACAATTAATCAGTGGAACAATTTGCCTCCAGAAGTTGTGAATGTTCCAACACTGGAAGCTTTTAAGAAGATGTTGGATAGCCATTTGTCTGGAGTGGTATAGGGTTTCCTGCCTAAGCAGTGGGTTGGATTAGAAGACCTCCAAGGTCCCTTCCAATTCTGTTATTCTATATCTCAAAGAATGAAAAATAGGAAGGCATTTTGTATGAGTGAAAAGCATACAGGATTATTTTGTTGGTTTATTTTAGACTTCAAATATAACTTACCCCCAACCTTCATGCTAAAATAGAATTAAAACATAAATATTCAAGTGCTCTTGAGTGTTGCAGAACAAAATTGAAGCCATCCCAACAACCAGGTATCAAATTTTATTAAATGCATATGTCCCGTTCTCCCCCCCCCCACCGTTTTAATATTATTTATTAAGGCACAATTGCAGGAATCCCATATGTCTCTCCACCTTCTGACTCCTGCTTTTGAAATACCACAAAAATCCACATGACAGAGCTTAAAAATCAGTGCCTGAAACAGTTATAATTGCCAGGAATGCTGTATGAAATCGCTATCATAATTGGAAATGTGCAATATGTCTTTATCAGTGGTTTTACAGATTTAAATTCAGTGAATGGTTTCTGATTGGGAATGTTATGGACATGCTGTATAGTTTATTGAAGTGCCTGATGATTCCCAAAACTGCCATAACAAAACTGCCTTTCCTTCTCGTTTTAAGGCTAGAATCCTATGCATAATTATGTAGCAGCAAATCTCTTTGAACTCAATATACATAGAATAGGATTGTATATGTGCTGTTTGCCTAAAGGAAATACCTCTCTTCATGCTCCCAATAGATGTTTTTCTAATATCTATTGTTAGCTGTTAACTCTTCAGTAAGAGATATTCCCAAAGGGGCAGCCGTATAAATTTCAGCAACAAGAGGCATGTGGTATATTACTGAAGCATTATGATACGATTTCATGATTTTCATTGAGTTGATGAAATGGCTTCTAAAATTGATCCCAGCGTGGCCCCGTTGGGTAGCAGTGATAGCACATGGAGACATATAGAGGACACCACACTGGCAAAGTTTTTTTTTAATTGAAACAAGGCTGTTCTGTGTCTCTATATTAAGGTCAGATGGTGAGACCCCCAATTTGGTTTTAAAGACAAGAGATAATGAGTTGAGTTTGAGTTGAGTTTATTGGTCTTGTATGCCGCCCACTCCCGAAGGACTCCGGGTGGCTTACAATAAAAAGGGGAAGGAGATAAATAGACAAAACAACANTTTACCCCAAGTGATCCGGTATATCGCGGGACCGCGCTACACACGGCATCCCGCACCCAAGTCCTTCACGGAATCATAACAAAAGAAAGTGGACCCGAATCAAGTCACCGCCGACTTGAGATCGAGCAACTGCCGGCAATTCTCCTGGATGGGCTACATTCTTTCAGACGGAGCCCCTCCAGACAAAAGCCCGGCTTGAGCAACAATGACAACAGTCAACGCGGGTTAAAACGATAGTCTATCCCCTCCTTCCCCCGGCCGCCTTTTCAAAAAAAGCCCTTTGAGGTTTAAGCGGTCGAGGCCCCGGGGGGAAGAGAAATTCGCTCGCTTACCATATAAGAAACGAGACGTTTCAACCCTGGAGGACAGTCACCCACCCAGCAGCCCCCCCCCCAAAAAAAAACCCTTTGGAGATTCGAGTTTCACCTCCGCTCTCCTTTTCCACCTCGTCCCTTTCTCGCCAAACGATCTTATTAACAATGATCGGTCAGTCAGGCGCAGCCCGGCTTAGTCCGAGCGCATTCCACAACCGAGCAGACCGACCCGCGAAAGGCGGCGGCCCCGCTCTCCCCCTCACCGGCTTACCTTTCCTTCTTCTCGGCTCCTGGAAGCAGAAACACAAGAGCCCAGATGGAGGGCGGCTTCGCCCTGCCCGCCGCCTTTCGTCTCTCTCTCCTTTCTTCCTGCCGAGTCCGGTGGAGACGACGCTTCAGAGCCAGAGAAGAATGAATCGGGTGAGACTCGGCTAAAGCAGGAAAGACGCGGTCGCCAGCAGGAGAGGCAATGCAGCCGGAGTTCTAGGCGCTGGCCCGCGGGTCGTTCCGGGAGCTTCTCTGGCCCATCGCGTGAAAAGAAGCCCAAAAAAAGAAGAAGAAGGCAGGCAAGCAGGCAGGAGAGGAGGGGAGGCGGTGGGGCGGGGGCAGCCGGGAGAGCGGAACCCAGGCGCTGGCTTTGTGCGAAGCGAGCCCGGGAAGGAAGGAAAGAAAGCGAGGGAAACGCCTCCAGAAAACAACGTTGCCGGCGAGGACACGGGATGGGAGGGTGGGTTGGAGATGGTCTTCTAACGTCTTCTAACGCCGCCGCTGCTCCAGCTTCTTCCCCACCCGCAAGCCCAGAAACGGGCAGGCGGCTTGAGAGAGGGATTGCAACTTGGAGGGGTTGCAAGAAGTGAGCTCAGCCCGCGAGGTCCAGACGCCGCCGTCTCCTCCCTTTTTTTTTTCTTTTAAATTTTTGACTCGCGCCCCGCAGTCCTCTCAGCGCCTCTCCGACGTAAGAAGGACCCGGCGCTCCCGAACGAAAGCCCGAGCGCTTCCTCCTGACGGCCGGCCCCGCGGCCCCCAGCGCTGGCGCGTCACCGAGGGCTTCTCCCGCTCCCCTCCTCTTCCTTGCCCCCGCCTCCCTCGGCTGCCCGCCTTTATTTCATCTGTGAGTCCCTCAAAAGCCTCCCTCCCGCTTTCAGAGAGGGAGAGAGAGAGAGAGAAGATGGCAGCAGCAGAACCGGAAGCAGCTTTTAAGGAAAGGGTGGGGGGAGAAAGAAGTCTCTCCCTCCTTCCTCCGTTATCCTTCGCCGCCGCCTCCTCCTTCTTCTCTCCACCTCCGGCTGCTGGAGGTGGCTGGGAGAGTTGAGTTGGAGTGAATGTATGACGTAGCTGTGACCCAAGCCGAGACGTCCGCAAATACAGACGTGGGACGGCGTGTCTGTGGCCAGGCGGCTACCGGAAAACGGCGAAGGAAGCTGGCTGGGAAGCCGCCTTTGTCGAGGCGGTAGGGGACGCGCGTGGATGTTGCACTTGGATGACCTCCATTCCCCCCTTGAGGCTGGTGGGCGGCCTTCTCCTTGGAGAATCCTAAAGACCCACCGCTCTCCCGGCTGAACCGGTTCTCCTTTCAGGAAGTCCCAAAGGTGCTTTTTCAGGAGGCAACTGGACTTTCTCGGGTTTTTTCCCTTTGAAGACGTTTCGCTTCTCATCCAAGAAGCTTCTTCAGCGCTGACTGGAGGGTGGGGAATGGAAGGATTTATACTCCTTGCAGACAATTGGTTTTTCGCATTTTTTTAGAGGGTCGTTGAAGCACTTGGAGCAATTTCTGCCGAAGTTTTTTACTACAGGTTCTGTGGGTAGCGCTTGGTGGAAGTGGCAGGGGAAAGGTACTGCAAAATCCCCATTTCCTCCGATCAGCTTGGACTCGGGAGGCAGAGAATAGATGGGGTGGGGCCAGTTAGAGATGGTATTTACCAGTTCTCCGAACTACTCAAAATTTCCACTACCGGTTCTCCAGAACTGGTCAGAACCTGCTGAATACCACCTCTGACTTGGAGGTTTATCTGTGTCCTAAGGGTCACTCCTTCAAGAAGTTGGGCCATTTCGCAGCCCATCTGGCCTTGACGTTCAAGTCAACCTATCTGACCTCGGAACAGGAGGGTCTGCTTGCATTTATCTTTACGCTCCAGGTAAATATGGGCAGTCATTTGGTGCCCTGAGCTTCTTGTCTCACTTCCTGGAGTGGGTCAAGAAAGATGACCCTGAAGGATGGAGGGAAGATCTGCTACCAAGGCAACAATCAGATAAAGGAAAATTGAGCCCAGGCTGGGAAAGTGGTCTATGGGAATGTCTCAAGACAGTCCCCACTCCCCTCTTAATTTTCACGAAGATAAAAGAGGGGGAAGGGAAGCCTATTCAGACTTGCAATATTTAGTTATGGTAACTGCTTCTAATAAAAAATAGCTTTAGATATGCACTATGTCTGGTTTTTAGTCTGGTCTACCTTCTAAGGTTGACATGTCCTCAACCTCCATAGAAGATTGGAAATAGCTATATTATGGTTTTGTGTTGATCGTGGTATTATCATGGTGTTGATAACATCTTCATTGCTCCTCCAGCTGAGCAATAGGAAAGCATAAAGAAAACTATTCAATCACTTCCCACATTTGTAATCCTATCTCTGTCTATTTTACTGGTGATTCCCCTCCCTCCCCAAGTGCAGAAGGGGAGATACAAAACCACCAAGATACTTCCTCTTAGCTGCATTTACAGATCTGCAAAACACTGTGACTGACCTGCTAATATGGAAAGATGGGAGAGGCTGAGGATGAAACACAGAAGTCTCAAGCCCTCTCGTCATTAGGGAAATGAGCCTGTCACGAGCCCCATAGACCTGCAGTATTCCTAGAGTACTTTCTGGATGCACCAGGCCTGAACCAGAAAGAATGGCTGAGCTGCGGAACAGAGATGATGGCAATGGATTGTCCAGAGCTGAGAGCCGTGTTCAGAAATGTCCTCCATCCCATACAATTACATACAACTTCCAAGACATTTCCAAGAAAACTTTAAGAGGAATTAAGCCTCAATTTAAAACAGGTTATGCCCCAATGACTGTAGTACTCATTTAATGACTGTCTCCTTTACCAGCTGCTGGCAGTTAGTAATTAAAAAGTAATTTTGTCACCCGCCCTTCCATTTGACTTTCACAGATCTGCAAAGTAACATCATGATGTTTCACTTAGCAACTGCTTTGCTTTAACAATTACATTGCTGATCTCATCTAAGGTTGCTAAACAAGGACGACAGTGCTTGCATTGTACTGAATCTGCCTAGCAATGTCTGAAAATGTTCTTTCCCCAAACGGGGTTTCCGTTTTCCTACCTTTGAGGAAGTTGTTTGATAGTGCATTTCAAAGTTTTCTGCGCTAAAATTTTGAACTGGCTTGATGGTTGGAGATGCAGAGCCTGCAGCTGTTGGTGATGTTTTCTGGCTTCACATTTTTCTATAATGCTCCTGCCTACAGTTCCCAGTCTGAGTAGCCCGATGGGAATTCTCTCAAAGAGATTGACTTCCCTTTGGATTTTAACAAGCCTGGGAAACCAGGAAGGCTGCAGAATATTAGGTTATTGTAGAGTGAAAGACAAGACAGTCATTTTCCCACACACTCCTTGGCAACCTTATGATTAAATAAGTATAAGACCTCCAGACACCATCTGTAAGAACTTTAATGAAATTCTCTTCTAAAAACTTAACTGTATTTAGCAGCCAATGTGACTGGGTTAATGGAAACCTTTTTTGAGAACTGACCTAATATATTAGTTCAAACAGAGACTGAATTACAAATAGCATATTATTAGAATGAATAACAGACTTGCTAGATAGCTTTAGGCAATTCATTTTTTTCTTACCACAACTTCCCATCTATGACATAGGAATAACAATTCCCATATTATAACCTTGTGGTTGTATGCGTGAGTTCTGCAATAACATATGAGAAATTCTCTGTCATTCTTGGCTATATAAATACTATTATTCATAGATGAACAAAATACACTGTTTTTCTATGCATGTCTACTAAGTTTTGTAGGGGAAGGCTAACTGTTCTTAGAATAGCATCTCCTCTTATGTACCATCTAAGCATTTGCTTTCAAATTCAAAGGATGGGGTTAAATGATATTGTCACATTCTTTTTAAAACAATAAATTTTATTCATTTCTTATTAATTACATTTCTTAGTGTGTTGTCTGGGTTTTTAATTTGCTTAACAATACAAATGCCATTCTTATTCCCTATCCCTTTTTTCAACCACTGGTAAAATAAATTCCAAGTTTGATAATATCCTGTGTCTTCTTTCTGCTTAATTTTCAATGTAAGTCTGTCCATTTCTGCACAGTCTAGTATCTTCTTATTTATCTCTTCCATAATTAATTATCTCTTCCTCTTGTGGTGTTTCTCCATCATTCCAATAAGTTCAGCTTTAAAATCTACATGTTTCCCTATTATCTTTTCTAGGCATTTATGCATTTTTGCCCAAATTTCTTTTGTTTTAGCACAAGTCCACCACATGTGATAAAATGTGTCCGTCTTTTAATTACATTTCTAACATTTGCTAGACATTTTTAAATATTTTAGCTAACTGAGCAGGTGATAAATGCCATTGATAAAACATTCTCTCTCTCTCTCTCTCTCTCTCTCTCTCTCNTCTGTCTGTCTGTCTGTCTATCTATCATCACCTATCTATCTATCTGAAAATAATGTAATGGCAATCAAGCTATTATTCATTTATTCATTCAATTTACATACTGCACATCTCAATCAATGACTCTGGGTGGCTACATTTTGAAGAGATTTATAGAATTCTTTATATAAATATGGTCAACAATGTTCATGATATAGTTATCTCAACTAATAAATATCCAATGTCAATTCCAGAGTGCTATGTACTCTCAGTGAACTCCTCCAACCTGGAGGAGGTGACATGTAAATGGGAAATTGTCTTAGCTTGCATCATATTATCTTATTCAAATGTGGAATCTCAAATCCTATCACTGTATTTGTCCTACTGTCTGGAGCTAGGTCATTTCTAGAAACACCTCTAAATATAATATCTCGCAATAAACCAATTGGCTTAATGATTAGGAGAAATAGACAGCTAAGCAAGGTTCTGATCAGACAGTGGAAGATACATGTGAATCAGCTTCTATTAGTTGATGGCACAACTGGGCCAGCGTACTGAAACAAAATCTTTAATTTCGAAGAGCCTGGGATGCAATATTGATAATATTCTTTACAGAGATTTGTGGCACTTAATCAGTTTGATGGTCCCTCTTACGTAAAAACCTTGACCTGGTGTTTTCATGGCCATTGCCAATTAATTTTATTTGCAATATAAAAATAGTTTGCCAATGCATTCTTTGGAGATATTTTTTCTATTCCCTGTCTAGTTTACAGACCAGGGTTTATAACTAGTTTTATAAAAGCGAACCCAAGTTCACAGATTAAATAAACGCCTGTAGTTAAAATGCTAAAACTCTGGTTAAAGACCATGCATTGCCATTTAACTTCCTCATTCCAACGTGTGCTGCTCTTTAATCAAACACATGACATGTATAGTATGTGAACTTAGACCATCGTCATTATCATTTTTCAAATGTTGGATGGGACAGCTGATTTTGTGTCAGAAGTAGAGGACCCTTAAGTTCAAGATAGGCTAATGCCCAACTTCAGCCATTGCACAATCTGCTTGTGCAATTTACTATGCAACATCAAATTTGGTGCTTTCTAGATCCTATGGACAATAATTGTCATAAACTTCAGCAGTTAAACAATGGGTTAGGAGGCTGTAATATAAAACAAGCAGGTGCTAAGTCCTTCATAACAACCTAGAACAGTGTTGGCGAACCTTTTCGGCACCGAACGCCGAAATGGAGCATGCGTGTATGCACAAACCGGAAGAGCAGCCGCTCGGTGCACATGTGTGAGCCAAGAAGACGATCTTCCAGTTTCCAGTGCATGCATGTGCACCAGCCACCTGGTGTTCTGATTTCTGGCATGCATACATGTGAAA